AGCTACCATATAAAAATATATATAGACAAGGCAAGGTTAAGACAAGGTTTAAATTTGGTTAAATTATAGTAATTAATCGTTTTTGTAAATAGATGAAGTTAAACATGAAATATAATATAAAATAAATGAAAAAAATAAAAAAAATAAATATAAAAATATATTTTTATAATAAAATAATAAATTTAAATATGTATAAATAAAAACAGAAATAAAATAAAAGTTAAAAAATATATACATGATAAAAACAGTATAAAAAAGTCAAAAAAAACAACAGAACAGGAACAAAAAAAACATGTACCCAAAAGTCGCGACTAGGATGCTATATATATATATATATATATATATATATATATATATATATATATATATATATATATATATATATATATATATATATATATATATATATATATATATATATATATATATATACACACATATATATATATATATATATATATATATATATATATACACATATATATATATAAATATATATATATATATATATATATATATATATATATATATTCAGGGCCTATTCTAGGTAAAAATATTGGGTGGCACCCCCCTTGTTTCTAAAAGGTCCTCAAGTTTTAATTTGGGCGGCGCCCAAAATGGCGCTTAAATACGGTCGACACGGTCGAAAATGGTCTAGAATAGCACCTGATATATATATATATATATATATATATATATATATATATATATATATATATATATATATATATATATATATATATATATATATATGACTTGATGTTTTTGTAAACTAGACATGTAATTACAAAAAAAAAAATTATATTAACTAAAAGCAATTTTTCTTGTTATAAAAATTAGCTTAAAAAAAGTTCATTATAATATAAATTTGTCAGTCTAGTTTGTTTTACTTATTATATTATGCTATTTACAATATAACAAATTGTATTATAACTTTTATTGGTTTGTAATAATTCTATTTGTTTGTTAATATTTCAATGTAATGTTTTCAAATTTTGTTTTTATATTTATATCCAGAGTTTTAAATTGTAATTTTATCTTTTGAAAATGTAGTATGTAAACTACAAAACATGTCAAGATTAAAAAATATTATGTTTGTCTTAATATATATATATATATATATATATATATATATATATATATATATATATATATATATATATATATATATATATATATATATATATATATATATATAAATTTATATAAAAAAATTTAATTTTCAAGATATATTTTAATTAAATATTCTTAACCCACTATTAAGAATATTTAATTAAAATATATCTTGAAAATTAAATTCTTTTATATAAATTTTTTTATATATAATCAAAGTCACTAAAACTTATACAGTGTTTCAAATTGAAGTTATTACATAACTTCAATTTAAAAACAAACTGAAAAAAAAAATTAGCTATTCTAAGAAATTATTTAAAAAAAAAAATTTTTTTAAAGATAAAGCTATTCTAATTTAAAGAATCAGTTTAGAATAGACTTTATTAGTGATAAATTACTAGCATTATTGAATTTAAATGCTATTAATAAAAAGACTTTATAAGAGTAATAAAATTTAAAACAATTATATATCTTTATACTTTTATTAATTTTTCTTTAAGAGTTACAAAAAGTATAACTATGATACACAGGGGAACAATTACCCATTAGCTTTTCTGTCATGACAACTACGAGAACAAAACAGATATATAATCATCAAAATACATTCTATACAAAATATAGAATGTTTTTGATGATTGGTATGTTTTTAATGGTAAATAGATATTTTAGTAGAATATAAAAATTTCGATTAAATTGCAAACTATATTTTGCAATATCGGTGTCAATTTTATCATTTCATATATAATAAAAGACAATAAATACACAGTGATTGCTGAACACGATAAGAATCAAACCAAGTTAACAATACCCAAACGCTATACAATAAAGACAACTTAGATATTTAAGTGCTTATCCATTTATTTTAAAAAATCTTTTACTACATTTCAATAATATTACGATAAATATATTTGTTTAGCTGAACTTTAACGGATTTTCAGTATATTTTATGTTAAGTAGCCTTAGACTAAGGCTACTTAACATAAAATATACTAGCAGAGATACTACTAAGATGATGCTAAATAATACTAAGGTTTAGTATTATTTAGCATTATCTTAGTAGCATCTCTGCTAAAGACTCTAGTACATAATACATATATCAAATGTACCTTTATTAAATATATAGACCAATATATTAACATATTAAATTATATTAATTTATAAAATATAAAGACCAATATACAAAACTACTGCAAATAATTCAAAAGAAAAAAAGAAAAGTAGTAAAAGCAACGCGCTTAATGGATTCATTACCGGTATTTATGTCAATGTTTTGTACGCTGTTGTTAAATTATGTTAAATACGCGCGTGCGATTTAAAAAAATAATTTTCGGGATGCTTTCTCAAATCAAAGTTTGTTATTATAGTTGGTGCATTTTTGGTCATTATTTATCATTTCAACGTTAGCTTCTTAAACTTCGTTTGAAAAAAAAATGTATTGAGAAATAACTTGTTAACATAACTGTATAAAATAGCTTTGTAAATCAGTACTTTCAAAAGTTTTTTTGTTTGTTTACATCTTTGTGATGCTTTTAAAACGTAACATTTTAAAATCTAACATTTTAAAATCTAACATTTTAAAATAATTGTAAATTACAATTATTTTAAAATGATGCATAAATTAAACTTTCTGAATTTCAATTGATAAATTAATTAAAAATGCTTTAAAAATACAACTTAACGAAGTTTTTTTTATTTTGAATTTGATAGCAATCTTTATATTTTACTATGTTCAGATATTTATTAAAAGCCAAAACTAAGTAGTATTCTATTTATAGTGATCAATAACTAAATAATATCCCACCTGTCAATAAATATGTCGGTCAATAATTAATAATAATTAATAATCTATTTACTTTTTTATTTTTATTTTTTTGTAAACTCGTTTTCTCTTTCTTCATATTGTCTAATAAAAATGAAACTTCTATTTAGTAATTTTTCTAATTGGTTATATTGGTGACTGACTTGCTCCAAAGTCCAGACCAGACCGGATAGCAATAATGGCGACTGACTTTAATTTATAAAAATATAGATCCGATCAAAAAGAATAAATTTTCTGCTATATCTAATACCAGCATACGTCGCATATCATCAGTTCCAAAGTCCAGACCAGACCAGAGAGCAATAATAGTTTTAGAATTGAATTAGATTTGAATCTAATTCAATCTTTTCGATCTAATTCAAATTTAGAATATAATTCAAATATAAAATATAATTTAAATATAAAATATAATTCAAATGTAAAATAAGTCTTATGTTAGTAGTAAAGACTTTTACGAGAACACTTGGATCACTACTTTTAAATATTAAATATGCTGGGATATTTGCTGCTCGGACAACATTCGCCACATCTTTTTTGTAATTTAGAAAACAATCATGGTCTTTTTGGTTTTTAGACTATGTTAAATTATCAAATTCTAGTTTATAACTGAAATTTATATGTTTACAAAATGAAGCAGGTGCTATTCAACCAAGTATAAAACACTTACCGCTGGCAATATTTAACTGCCATTTTTCTGACAGGAGAAAAACTTTGTTGATAGCAACAGCTGGGTCATAGCTATGGTTCGTATCTCTAAATCAGCTATATAGTTTGATATCGTCTGCGTATAGCACAAGAGAACAATTGAGATCTTTGATTATAGAGGGTAAATCGTTAACATTTAATAAGAATAACGTTGGGCCCGACTTAGTGTATATTGATTTCCAATGTACACCAATGAGTCAAATGCTTTTTGGAAATCAATGTATACTACATCGGTAATTAAATGGTTGCGTTATATTTAGAGTATTTATACATTCATTATGTTTATAGTATTAAAGATTTAATGCTTTTTTTTAAGTTAAAAAAAAAACTCAAAAATAATAAATTATAAATAAATATTGATTAACACCTTATTTAACTTTTATTTTTTATTTTCATGAAACCATTTTTAATTAGTTTACTTCAACCAACTAATATGGTATTTAAAATTTAAATACTATAAATCCTATTTCAACAAAATAACTTTTAAATGCTTTAAATCCTATTTCAACAGAATATAATTTTCCAAAAAAAATTTTTTGTTGTTGAGATTTAAAGAGCATGTAACGTTACAGCATCGCTCAACTTTCAACACCCCTCAACAACATCACCCTCAAATTTCAACACCCCTCAACTACATCACCCTCAACTTTCAACACCCCTCAACTACATCACCCTCAACTTTTAACACCCCTGAACTACATCACCTTTAACTTTCAACACCCCTCAACTACATCACCCTCAAATTTTAACACTTCTCAACTGCAGCACTTGTCAATTTTCAACAACTTTTACAAGTAAAATATGCTGTGTAGTTTTTTTAAGGCTTACAAATGTCAATAGCCATAAAAAAATGTTACGTTTGTTTTTGTCAAATGAGTAGTTTAATTTTTTTTAAAAAAAACAAACAGTTATTACTCGTTTAATATATTTATAGTTATTTTCTATATCACTATAGTTAGTTTCTTTGTGATATTTTGATTAGGCAACTCGTAAAGCTATTTTTTATTTTATTTTTATAACCAAATACAGAAGTGGCTTGAGTTGCCTAATCAAATTATTTAATAAAGAAATTCAAATAGTTGAGGTTACATCAATTCCGATGATGTATAACTTATTTTAAACAGAATTTCTTTTTTTGTCGCAAAACAGTGTAAAGATTGATTGTTGGCATATCTGGTGCGACGTCAATAACAATGGCTGGAGGCAAGTTGGAACTTTATTGTTAACAATGTAAGGTCAGGATTTTATCAGCATATTTTTTGAGAATATTTTTATTTTGGGAGGTAGGCATGGAAGTTATTTCGAAAATAAAGGCAATGAATAAATTTGGATCTAAAACACTACCTTGAAGCACTCCAGCTTG